AAGTAATAAAATCATTATTTAAATAAACCATTTGATGCTAATTTGTAATCTGTTTACTCTGTGCTTCGTTTGGACTTTACTGGTTTGAAAATAGTAACTACTGATTTGAATGAAAGCGTTTATTTGGAAGTGATTTTGTCACTTTTAGTTGTAATAATTCCTGTAAACACGTGACATGTGTGGATTGGATGCCCTCATTCCTCTATCCCACTGTACTATGTTTTTTACATTCATATAAATGTGACTCATTTCTTAAATCAATATACATTCACCGACTAAGTTGTTTTCTTACAACAAAACGGAGTAAAGCTAATTTTTAAACTTTTATTTAAATTTATGTTTGTAGACTATTTTATTTAGTAACGTGTAGACAAAATTCATGTAATCAATGTTTAATAATGTATTTGTGCATAAAGATAGATAATTCTAGAAAACAATTTGTTTATTAATATTAAATTACTCGACCATCTCCCACTAATAAAATATTATTGATATTTTCATGTCTTTGCTCTGGCTCATAATCGAAAAAAACGTTATCAAAAATGCGTTACGAAGGGGTGGGAGATAGGGGTGGAAAAAAGGGGTGGCAGATAGGGGTGGAGTATAGAGGTTGGGAGATAGGGGTGGAATATAGAGGTTGGGAGATAGGGGTAGGAGATATGGGGATGGGAGATGGAGGTAGGAGATAGGGGTGGAAGATAGGGGTAGGAGATAAGGGTAAGAGATAACAGATATGTTGTACGTTCAACGTTCAAATTAGATCTAAATGATGAATTCAAAATAAAGTAAGGGACCAAATTCTCTATGAATATTAAACACTACAATATTAGCCAAAAACTTGATGTTTTAACATACTAGCTTGTTACTGCTTCTTAATATACTATATCATTATCTATGATTCCACCACTACTCTAAATCTATTCGGTATTTCAACGAGACATGAAAATGCTCTTTCGTGGTTGCAGACTCGGATGAAAAACTTTTATCTTTACCTATCACAAATGGTATATAAATGTATTGAATGTGTGTATGTGTGTTTGCAATTAGCAGTAAATTACTGTCAAGGTTATTGCGCTTGGACCAATGACAACGTCGGGATATGGTTAGGCTGATACGAGAAGTTCGGGGCATCAATGATAGGTCCACGCGAAATATATGTATGAACTAAATTTGGGAGGGGGTAAGAACATTGAAATTTGTGGAAAATTAAGATCACGTTACATCAAAACCTTTTAGGAAAAAAAAATTCAATTAATAATTAAAACCAGTAAGATATTGAGTGGATCCACCTGTATATGCTATATTATTTATTATAATATATGTATATATTATAGCAAATAAAATAATAATTGATACCAATATGATAGTAATATTAACAAAAGCTAGCTGGCTGTTACACGTGGGCCAATGACAGTGCAGGGATTTGGTTGGCTGAGGCGGACAATGAAATGAGTATTCCACCTATTGTTTTTAGACATTTTCAACATAAATTTGTTATTGGGCTGGTTACAAACAAAAATTTGAGTAGACAATTTTGCGTGGATAAAAGAGCGGTCCAGTATACTTGTTTATCAAAGTGTATGTATTACTACTTTTGATTCAACAACAAAAAAACCTTAGTCGCGATAAGTTTCATAATTATGTACATAACTTATGAAATTATTTTGATGTTTATATAATATTATATGTACCTGCAGTTGACCATAAAATAATACAGGCTATGAAATAAATCAGCATAGTGTTATAGTACATGTTAATATAATATAAAACGTTGAACACTTTACAAAAAAATATAAAGAAATTTTGTTTAATAGGTATTGTAAACCAACTTGAATACGTAGTTCTATTACAATAACGTACAGTTTTCTTCTACGCTTAACGGGATATATTATAAACGAGTCATTTTGTTTACATATAGTGTAGAGATATTTGTAAAAGCGCACATATTGTGTATTGTTAAACGTTAAACACATATCTGAAGCAGACGTCAGTGTTCTTGTTCATATGCACGATTGAAAACACCCAAGGGCCTCTTAAACACATAAAGGTATAGTAAATAAGTAAAAAAATTGTATTCCCGTGAATTGTTCAAATAACGAAAAAAAGGCCTCTCAGTCTATGTACAATTTATGTGGTAAAACGAAAGCAGAAAACAATTTTGCACGTATATTGTTCAAATAACGATATGTTTTCATTTAAACTAAAAAAATGTGAAGGTAACCTATGTACGAGTTTATAAAAAAATGGGTTTCTATAGAAAATACACAGGTGTAGAGGCCTTTTAATAATTTCAAGGTGGATTTTGTTCGGTTGCTTTAAACACGGCCCATGTATCAGTTCACAAAAAAGTAGAAAATGATTTATATAATTGGTTTGATTTTTGCAAAATAAGAGCCGTTTAAATTGCGAAAAAATAGAATCAAATAAATAAAACTGTACTGATTGGAAATGTTTTAGAGATCGAGGTCTGCCTGGAATTAGCGTCATCAATATATTTTATGTCAAACATTCACTTCCATACCTAATTCATTTCTTTATTTTTTTTTGTTGTATTTTATGCCATAATACAATTTAGTACATAGCAAATAATAAAGTTTTAATCTAATATATAAAATCGTAAGGGCTTATCGCGGTACACTATATTTGAACTTGGAAAAGAAAATAATCTAAACCAGATGTCACGAGTCTGTCTGATAGCAACGCGCGCGCATTTGTCAATTATGGCCTATCGGCTATCGGTCATTCGTGTTTGACAGTTGACACGCTATATTAATTGAAATGTTTATTTTCTATTAATTTGTTAAATAATATTAACGTATATATAATATATTCGCCTTTTTCCGTTTTATCGTGTACGGTGTTTGAGATCTATCATGTTTAAGTGTGAAGAAGTGACGGTGCCGTCGTCCGTATATACTGATAAGAGATTCCGTTGTTATATATATGTCAATTTTGTTTACTTGTAAAGTTGCATACAAATCTCTTATCTAATTAAACATGAGTGTTTAAATGACCCTAGCATTTAAGAGATTCGTTTCAAATTAATAATGACAGTACTTCTTTTTGATTTCGTAAAAGTCTTATCAATGTTGGTGTATTTTATACACTTCATTTTATAGTAAGTAAGATTTTTGCTCCAGTTGTTGTATTATTGATAGCATAAAACATTTATGGCGGGCTGCGACTTGCATAAACGTTCAGTAAAGATTTAATGATCCCATTTGTTATATGAACATAATATATTCAGTGGCGTTTAAACACAATTTAGTTGCCTGTGAATGGTCCATTAATACTTAATAAACTATTAAAATGATAAACTTTTTATGCAACTTGGCATCCTACTTTTAAAATTTAAATAATGTAAACAATAGCTCTATAATTATCAGTAAAAGGATTCTCAAGAACACTTGGTGTGTAGCAATTACCAATTGACACTTTCTTTTTTATATTTAACACAATAATAAAGCAATTGTCACTATAAGTATGATTCAACTTTAAACATCTCTGTAGCTATAATAGGTGAAAATTTAATATTTTGTTCGGATTCAGAGTTTTTTACAAAGTATTATTATTGTCTCTTTTTATAAACATTCAATTAGTATAAGAAAAACGTTAAGTGACTTATGGTTATATATATATATATATATATATATATATATATATAAAGTTTTATACAATTTTACATTTATGTATGTATACTATATAATGCTTGATGTTTTAAAAACGAAATTTCATGATATTATTTTTTTATTACATAAATAACATAGTTAAAAAAAAAAAAATTCAGTTTTGTTTTAATTTAAATGGAGTTTAAGTATTAAATTCAAATACTTTTTATTTGAATTAATTTTTTACAAAGTAATAGTTTACTTAGTAATAGTAGAATACCTACATATTTAGTAACAAAAAATAAATACCAATTTATTCATTATCATATGGATGTGGACAATAACTTTTTAAATAAATAGGTAATACTTACATTTATGTTTAAAAAATATGTACTTCTAACAAGTTATTTTTAAAATAGTTAAATAATATATCTGTAGCACTAAATTAAAATTGCCAATAACAGAACGATAGATTTTTATTAGTACTGCAGCTAATTTGTGTGTTACACTATTATGTTGTATTTTAAAATACAACACATACATTTGATAACTTTATCATTATATAATATAGAGATGAAATATTTATTAGTATTCTTTTTGCCAGTTGTCTAAGATCATTATTACTTATTACCTATATAAATGTATATGATCACTATCAAGTACTCATCTGTTTGGGGTTTTTTAAAATTATTTTTTGACTTAATTCGTTGTTTTAATATTTTAACTTTGGAAAATTCAGACATTGTAGGTGGTCTATGCGGAAATCAACAATTCACGCTAAAAAAAAGCTAATAATTGTCATTAAAGTTGAAACTGTAGTTTGTTTTATAATATTCTTTGAAATTAATTCAAATATATATTTTACTTTTTTCAGTCATATATCTGATTTCACTTTTCAGATAAATTTTTTTTAGGAAGTATTATTTTAAATTATTTACCTATCTAAAAGTAACATTTATACATGGATTAATTAAAAAATGTTTATTGTTGTTAATAATCACATTGAGATTTGTGATTCGTGACTGGTTATTTGCAATTGTAATGTAAAACTCATGGAAGAATACCGTTACAAACATATTTATCTTCCATTTGCCGCCGAGTGTTGCCAAGCTTTAAATAATAGTTTCAGCCAATAAGAAATCGCCAACAACAAAATAGTCATAAGAGCAAAAAAAACACGTCTCCAAATTACTATACAAACAAGAACAAGAAGTGTCTTCTATTCAACAAACACCGGTTGTCTAGATTATTTATCGGTCCGATCAAATTTTGTACGTTTATTCCGGTTATAATTCAATCAAGTGTATGCCACACGTTTACTTAAATTAATATTTTTGAAATTGTTACATCTTCATAATGAAGCTCATACACGGACTAGTAGTATTTTCAGGATTTTTATTAAATTCTCTATTAGCTGATTCCGTTGTTGATCTTTCCGACTCAGATTTTGAATCTTCTGTAGCACAATATGACACATCTTTGGTCATGTTTTATGCCCCATGGTAAGAAACCTTACACGTCTCATTTATGCTTGTTCGACATTTTTTATACCTATGTTATTTTTTCTCTTAGGTGTGGTCATTGTAAGAAACTCAAACCCGAGTTCGAAATAGCAGCTAAAAGTTTACTGAAAGAAGATCCTCCAGTTACATTAGCTAAGGTAAAACAAGTTCTTTTGATTCTAAAACCTAACTTTTTTTTGAAAGTATTAATTTGATGAAAAAACATTTGTTTACTTGCTATAGATTATCGTCTAATTTCTGTGTGCAAGTGACTTTTTATTTTATGTCTCCTCTTCACATATTATATCACTACAAGTACTATTACTCTTAAAAAAACCAGTACAGTGGGGTCGGTGCATAGTGGGGACGGAGCATAGTTGGGTCGGGGCATATTGGGGACGGGGAGGTCACAGGTTTACAGGAATTTTTAAATCTGAAAGTGATAAATCACTTTCGAAAAAACGCTTCGATGCAAATCGGTAGTTAGTATTTTCAAGCCAGTACAGTCCAAACCAAGCACAGTGTAAACCAGCAAAGTTAGAAAGTTTTAAATGAAGGTTCTGTATTTACAAATGAGCATCAAAGCGTTAATTTGAAAGTGATTTTATCCGAGAGGACTAGTACAGTAGAGTATTGGCATAATGTAATCAAAGCAATGAGGAAACGGAGAGGTCACAGGTCTACTAGAATTATTATAAATAAAAGTGATAAAATTGAATTAAATCGCTTTCAAATAAACGCTTTGATGCTCATTTGTAAAAACAGAACCTTCATTTAAAACTAACTTTGCTGGTTTATACTGTGCTTGGTTTGGACTGTACTGGCTTGAAAATACTAACTACCGATTTGCATCGAAGCGTTTTTTCGAAAGTGATTTTATCACTTTCAGATTTAAAAATTCCTGTGAACCTGTGACCTCCCCGTCCCCAATATGCCCCGACCCAACTATGATCCGTCCCCACTATGCACCGACCCACTGTACTGGTTTTTTTTTTTTTTTGCAAAAACTTAGTGCAACAAATAACATTTTTCCCCTATAATATATTTTATCACTACATAGTTATTACACATCTCAATTTTTGTCATTTTTTAATAATTTTTATAATTTGGGGTTAAAAGTCTTCTTTTTTTAAACAACACCTGATCACTATAAGGTGCATGGCTTTTTCTTGTCAAGTAAGTTTTGCTCACCAAAATAGCTGAAACTTAAATAATCATCTGTTAAAAAGTAAATCTTAACTAAAAAATAAATTGTTCCAGTAGATAAAAAAAAAGTGTGTCGACATGATTAAAATTTAAATATTATACTTCATAATTTTCTAGAGAAAATTTTTTTTAAATAACCCCTCTATTTAAATAACATTCTTAATCATTATTATAAGCCAGAAAGAACGGAAGATTTACATTGCTTAACTACTTCACATTTTTTATATCATTTTTTTCCTAGGCAGTTGTTGTAATATAAATTATTTAATTTTTATTAAAAATAATAGATAGGCTATAATTATGTATCAATCCAATCAGAACCATTTAGTGAGAGAATTTCACAAATTTATTAACAGTTTATATATTTTTGTTGTTATGAAAAATGAGAAAACCTTGATAAACTAAACTATACTTGTTGTATCGTTATCACTTATCAGGTTCAGCTCATTCAAAGTGTCTTTGTGTCGATTATAGCTTTTCTGCATAAAGTTAATTTTTGTAAAAGTGTCGCTTACACCAATTAGCCTTCAAACAGTTAAACTACTAAAATTCAAACCAATGTATAAACATGTCTTCCTACCAAGTATAGATTGGTTATATTGGCACCAGTTCCGACAAATCAATTTATTCAAAATTTAAAATGATCTGGTTTTTATCTTAATTCATATTATATCAAATTTTCATGATTTCAACCTCTCAATTGTGTCCAAATGACATGAAAAAAATACTGGCAAATCGTAACAGTGAATGTACAAATTCATGTATAACATGTTCAATGACATGACTTACAATAATCATTGTTACAGTGTAGTTGTTTACCAGCATTTATTTAAAATCATTTAGAGACTATTGGGAGGTGGAGACCACAAACATTTGAAATAGACCAAAATAAGGGGCACTTTATTAGATAAACATATATCAAATAGTCTATATACGACAAAACACTACTAAATTGGTTAGGACAACTGAAATTTTAGGTGATGTAAAATAAATTACACTTAATAGAATATTATATAAACATATAAGTATAATATTGGATTACTCTTTCTGTAGGTGGATTGTACTGAAGCTGGAAAAGAAACTTGCAACAAATTTGGCGTCTCTGGATATCCTACACTTAAAATATTCCGAAATGGAGAAATGTCTAAAGAGTATAGTGGTCCCAGAGATGCCGGTAAAAAAAACTATTATATACCATGTCTTAGTATTTATAAGAAAATTAATAGTATATTTAAAAGATATTAATATACATTTTTATGATGCTATCAGAGCCGTAGTGAGTTGGAGGGCAAATACCCGGTGAGTCACTTTTGTTCCAGAACATAAGGCTAATAGGTGACATAATGTTCATGTCTTGAGGTTTTTAATAAATCAAAATAGTAATTTTGCAGTAATCATGGGCCATCTTTAAAATGTCTTACCTGACATTCCCAGTCTGGCCTAGGATGATAATAACTTTATTTATTTGTAATTTTCGAAATTATGGGAGTACATAAAGCGTGTTGCAACTTTTCCGCTTTAGATTTTTTCTCTTTTTAACTTTTCATCTTAAAAATTTAGTATTCATTGAATGGGTTATTATTTAACCAATAACCTTTGTACTTAATTCTTGAAAATTCCAAAAAAAAATAATTTGTGTTATTTCTTTTCTGGTCAATTTAAGAACATTAAAATAATGACGTAGGAAGTTATTATAATTATTTTTTTAATAAACATTATTTATTTTATTTATAGATGGTATTGTTAAGTACATGAAATCACAAGTAGAACCAAGCTCAAGGACTCTTGCCCCATTGGAATCAGTCGAGCTGTTGAAGTCTAAGGATGATGTTGTTGTTATTGGACTGTTCTAAACTGAAACTGATCTCAAAGGAAAATTCATACAATTAGCTAACAAGTTACGTGAAAAGGTCAACTTCGGGCACACCACATCTGAATCAGTGTTGGATAAATTCAACTACAAGTAAGTAAAAAAAAAAAACGGAAACTATTTCTAAAAATAACATAATATTTTGTATTTTATTTAAAAGTATCTAAATAATTTAAGAATTTTGAAGATGATTTTGTTGTTTACGATGGGGAAGAATCAGCATCTGCATTGGAATCGTAGATTACTTCCAACTAGTAAATAATGCATAAATTAATACAAATTAATTATACAAATCAGTTATTAATTTTTTTTTTTATTAGAAATAACAATCTGTACAAAATAAAGTGTACAATAAGTTTTTTTTTGTAGACATTTTTAATTACATAGCATCAGTAACTATTTAAACTATTTTGAATTTATTGCTTAGTTCTAGTTTGATCGTTGTAAATACAACACATAATTTAAAATAACAGCGTCACGCTTTTTTTGTAACACTTTTTTCGGTTATGTGCCAGAGCTAATTACCACCCCAACCCCATTCCCACGTGAATAGTAAAAAATAATTAGTTAAGCATATAATAAAATGCATAAGGGACCTCTCGGGGTATCTTTATAGGTAATATGGAGAAAGATAGCAGACCTATGTATGGGGAGATTTATGTTAATTAGCTTTTGATCTTATAAAATAAGATTGTATGAACTTTAACGGTGTTCGATACTTCGGTATTTTTGGCATGTTCGGTGTTTAAAATTTTATTGATCTTTCTTATTTATTTCTCAGTATTAACTTTTAATCCTATCCTCGCACGTTTCCTGGTCGGACGATTTCGTAAGTAATAAATTATCCTAAATCGTTTAATCTTTTTACTCCTATTCTAAAACAACACGGTGTTCGTGGGTTCCATGCAACCGTGGTCTAATATATGCGACTATTCAAATTTATATTCCTAATATTGTGTGTTCCTGAGTATAGCGGTCGTATAGCAACTTGTTGTATTAACTACACCGAGGAACACATATTGAGAGTGTGTTAGACCCTTTTATATTTTTCATATTAAAATAATTAATTTATTATTGAAAATCTTAATTTAATTATTGTAAAAAGACTCCTTTTAACGGTGCTCGTACATAAGGGTATTAAACCGTGCTCGAGGAGTGTTTTCATTTAAATTACGGTGTTCGTGTGTTACACATACAACCGTATTTGTAGCAGTTATTAATTGATATATATATTTTATTTCTTTATTACATTATCTTACTTATTATTTATTAAAAGGAAAATTGCATAAAATATTAATAAAAGAATCATTGTATTTATTTAAATATAAAACTGAGTCTTATATTGTTCTTTATCGATAAAGTAAAAATTAAGACATAAAGAAAACAATCAAAGAAGGGATCGTTTCAAACCCCAAACTCATTCCCACCCCTAACCCCATACCTCTTATCTCTAATCTCTTAGCTCTTCCCCTATCCCCTTTTCCTATTTCATACTGTAACGGTCACATTTAACCGCCTTTTAGAGACTTTAGGGACATTTAAGTGTAGATACGGCCTAGCCATCCATCCCGTCTTCGGGTCCACTAATTTAACCCTATCGACTGTCGTTTCAGCCTAGCCTAGCCAACTAGCCAAGCAGACACGTTACAATATCATACCCCTATCTCCTATTTTTTATCTCTAATCTCTTATCTCTTATTAGATAAGAGCGTAATGCTTTTTTGGTAACACTTTTTTCGGTCATGTGCCAGAGCTAATTCCCTACCATCACCAATAGAACTCCAAAATAATTTAAAAGTATATCGTATTTTGTATATTTACTCAAATTATCAAAACTATTATATATTTATTTGTGGTCATTTATGCATTGATTTCTTGCAATTTATGAATCAACAACTATAAGTTTTTCAGGTTTTTCGGGTCAGTTGGCACTGCTGACAGCCTTCCTATTCACACATTATGTCATTTTATCGTTGTCATCAGACTTGCTGATTATACATATTTTGTATAGATTGTAAATAAAGAAAATATATTTTTAATAAAAAAAATAAAAAGTTTATCAGGTAACACGACAGAGTTATCAACGAATATTTTCCCAACACTTACTGTAGCAGAGGACTCAGAAATAGCGTTATTTTCTCCGCTCACCGGAAAATCATTGAATCATAAATATGTTATAAGCTATAGAATTACGGTCCGTACAACCGCCATTATTTTTTAACATGTACCTATTTGTTTTATCGCTGGTGGTCATTTTAAACATATTTGTCCGTAACGTAACGCTGGATGTCACACTCAGAGGCGGTGGTGAGAAGAGGAGGAGATTAAAAAATACGAAATTAAAGATAAAAATTAAGATAATGTATGAGATATAAAGCATTAGAGATAAAAAATACGAGTCTTAATAATAGAGATATTGATTTCTGGTTTACATCATTTCATCTTCAATATGTAGTGCCGGACACTCGATTTTATAATATTGTTTATTTATTTATTCATGGTTTTTTTGTTGCCTACCGTATTATGCAATAGTTATTCAGAAATTGTTAAAATCTAACAAGGCTCGACGAGGACAAAAAAAAAGAATAAAAACAATTAACAGATTGCGAAAACTCTAATATTTATTTTCAACCATAATACCAACCGATATGTTTCATCTTCAGTGAATACAAGTGATATAACAGTAAAATATATATTAATATAGGTACTTGATATCTATAAATTTAATTAAGCGCAAAAAGAACCAAAACAATTATTATTTTTGGAATTTGGTTAAACGGCTGGAGCTTGAGCCGGTGCCTCCAAGTATACACAACGAAATTCCTACAGAATAAAATAATCATAAAAGTATTTTCAAAAAATACATATATTAACTGAACTAACATTGCCTGCTAAACTGCGAACGCCAGTTATACGAATGTACTGTATCGGCCTGGCTTCAAATTTCAACAACTGCCAAGATCGTGTCAGCTCCTTAGATTTGTCCACAATCGTTTCCCAATATTTACTATCGACAGATACTTGAATAGTATAACTGTAAGTTTGTGCATCGCCACCCCAAAGTAGCATCCTGTCAATTTTAGCAATAATAATATTGTCTTAGTTTAATAATCAATACATTTTATGAATAACAGGATAATTCGGCCAAGTTAAACCTTTATTTTTCATGTGAATAAACGAATGATGAAAAACATTATAATTATTTGGTAATCAATATTAATGCAAAAATATAGTTTAAAAAAAAAAGAATAAAATACATTATTATTTAAGTTCCTAAAATTGTTTCAATTAATATTAGGATCAAAATCATTAAAATTTTTTTTTTGTCATTTTTGTTAATGTTGTTCATTTACATTACCATTGATAATTTATTTAATGAAATACAGACAATTTTTAAATTAAAGAAAAAACAAGAATGCATATGATGTTGACTAGTCTATTTAGAATCAACGAAATAATGCCAATTGGGGAAATTTGTGTTAATACATTCTAAGAAATAAATTGTCAATATAAGTCTTATGTTGGCTTGGTCAGCATAGTGGATAGATTGCTATTAAATTAACTTTAATTATATTTAGAACAATAATTACTAGTTCAATTTTTATATTTCTTTTTAATACGTTTTTTTTATATTTCAAGTCCATTATTTTATAAACACGATTTTCAAAAATTTAAAATTTTGAACCACAAAATAATATTAACGTGTTATTATTGTGTACGAAATTTAAAAAGCGAATTTAACCTATTTACACTATAAAATATAGTTTGTATAAAACATCTCAAAAATAAATTTTTTAAATCAGTCACATTGAATTACAATTATTTATTTTGGCGGTGACTTCAAATATTAAAGAACAATGACGATTATTTTAAACATTTTGGACAATATTTTAACACCAGAATTTTCGTTTTGATACTTTTTCTCATACCTTATGTGCATAATTTTCTTTATCTCACACGCGTTTACCCAATAAGTCAAAATATGCAAAAGTATGCAATATAAGTTTATTGATTTGAAATATAATCTTTGTGAATCGAATTTATACCGTATTTTTAGGTATAAATCTGGTTTTACCATAAAAATTAGCAAACTTATAATCTGTAGCTATGAAGGAATCTTACAGGTTATGAATATGAAATCTTTAAATTATAGGCGAGTTAATTGTTATTTCATTTTTCTTTTAACTAACTAATAATTTCATTGATTGTCCCGAGTTATTACGTTTAATACATTTTAAATGTCCTAGACTAAACCGAGCCAAGGAATTATTTTATATTGGTAATATTAAATCTAGATATTTATCTTTTTCACCTCATACCAATTTAATGATAAACGGCAATAAGTTAAATTTAGAAACCTATATATTTAATTGTAATTTTTAGTCATTTAAAATATCATACGTAAGAGTACGTTGTAAATTTATTATTTTTTATATAGCTGATATGTATTTATTTTATGTTAAGTATAGCTTATATTGTACACATCATAGTATTTAAATAATTGTTTTTGCTGTGATTTCTACTTTCAGATACTATAAAATTAATCTCATTGTAATTGGATTATATATATATAATCCATTTTTTGCTCGACTTGAAAATAAACAACTCAACCATTACAAAATATTAAAAACCGTATTTATTTCTTAACTCTTTATTATATTACTACATTAAGCATATACTGTATACATTTCATAGTATTGACTATTGTTACTTGGTTTAATGTGTTCATATGAACATTAAAAGTATACTTTTTATTTGATAAACGGTTGTTTTTCTCGTTGTACGAAACATAAACAAAAATTTGGAGTGGTAAATGATAAAACAATTAACAAGATAAATTATACACTTGTAACACGTTCACTGTCCTGATGTTAAATTTAATCAAAAGTTATCAGTCCTATGATCCATATATGGGTCACGTTAAATCTATTTAAGTAGTCCATGATCCACATGTGGTTCATTTCAAACATTTTTTTCTCTGGACATTTATCTGTATGGACTATATTCTATGAAATTCATAATGACACAATTGGACAGATGAGATGATAGGGACTTAATTAATTAATTAATTAATAAATTAGGGACTTGTCTAAAAATAAATCATGAACCACATAGGGGTCATCGCACAGTGAACGTGGTAAGATAAGAATTCGATTTTTTATTTGCTAAATTATATTAAAAAACCAAGACTGAATAAAATTAACATATCTGTAATTAACTTGTCAATAATAGAAATGTAACATATTGCTGTATATAGTGATGTATTTATAGCAAGTCACTAGAGCGATAAAGTTTGTTTGATGACTTCCCACTGGAAGCAATCTGTCTCCAATTACATATTTTGGTTAAAAAATAGTTTATTAGTATATTCATTCAATTTATGTGACACTAATTTACTTTTTTACACTTAATCCAACAGTTTACATTTTTTTTCTTCTATTTTGTGTTTTATCATTTTATTCACTTTATTACTTATAAAAACTTAATCGTAAACCACTAGAAAGATGTCAATAAACTCAAAATAAAAACAAATATGTATAAAATAAAATATATAATTTCATAATAGTATCTTTAATCCACGGCAAGCTCGCGACAAATACAATTATGCATATAGCTGGCATTTAGTTTAAACGCACGGATTTTGAGCCTATGTTTCTGTCATCGTAATATCTGTATCGTTGTTCTTCTGACAAATTGAAATTCCCTATCAATTTTCATCCTTATGATAGTGAACAAATATATATTAGAGTATTTGTTACCGCACGATTATCTTCAACGACGTTGGAATCTAATATTACATGAGCAGGAGCCTCCAAGTATACACAACGAAAATCCTACAGCATAAAGGAGTTATATTAAAAGTAGAAAAACACTTACATTAGTTTAATTAACACCCATTAATTTTACTCACACCGCCAGCTGAACTGCGAACGCCAGTAATACGAATGTCCAACATCGGCCTGGCTTCAAATTGCAACACCTGCCAAGATCGTGTCAGCTCCTTAGATTTGTCTATAATCGTTTCCCAATACTCATTGTTGACAGATGATTCGATAGTGTAACCATAGGCTTGGCGATCGCCTCCCCAAAGCAGCATCCTGTCAAATATAGCAATAATTTTGTTAATATTATCCATTTACACGGCCGTTTCTAAATGTATTAATGAACTACAGATTGAACAAAAATACATATTATATTGTATCGTTACGTCTAAGTAGAACACATACAGTAATAAAAATTGAGGGAATGGGTTTTGTTACGTCCTAAAAAATTTATTTAAAACAAGAATCTTATCGAAAAAAGACAAAACATTTAATTAAGCATGATTCTGATGAATTGTACGAGTTCGAGACAGGCTCTGCGATGAAAATATGAAACAATACTTGCAGAGTTTGATTGAAAAAGTTTAAAAGAAATTATGTATAGACCGTTCATGAATTGTCAAAAGAAGGAGCATCCTATCAATGATGGCAATAATATTACTGTCTTAGTTTAATAATCAATAAAAGTCATGAAAAACAGATACTTCGGCCAAGTTAAATCTTTGTTTTATATGTAAATAAACGAATGATAAAAAAAATTATAATTACATTAAAATGATATCATTCCAACGATAGGAAATGTTTAAAAAAAAATCAAAAGAAGGCTTATATGTTGGTCATGTCAGCATAGCGAATAGATTGTTATAAAACATTGCAAATTATTTATACTATTACCTCATCGAACTAAGTATATACGGTTGTACAACGGGAACCACTATGGAACCCGTGCCCAGCCAATGCCATGTGTATTTGTCATTCCTAGACGAGCATTCATAGTAGTCATCTAATAGCGACCTACCTTTTACACTATTTTCACCATTGATTACAGATCCACACATACCTATTGTAAGTGACAAGCCTAATTTTAAAAAGCGCATTAGCAGTACTTTTGGTTCCAACAAAGCGTATATAACGAACTACGCGTTGATGAATCCACAGTCGTTGAATTGATCGACAATTATAATTCGAGTGATCTACAGCAAGTGTCCATTCGCTCTCGTCCATTGAAACTTCAATGTAATACGAATAAAACCTTAAGTATCACAATACAATTCGTATAACTTGTAGAGTAGTGATTTGTAAAATAGTATAGAAAAAACTAAATAATGGGAACAGAGTTATTGAATAATGAAAACAAGTTATCGACAACTAATACTTAATAAACAATGATTTTACAATATTTGATACATTTGTTCGCTATACTTGTAATTAAATCAAATGCTCATAAAATAAAACAGTTAAACATTCAATTATTATTCATTGTTAATTAGTTACGAATGTTTTGAATAAATATTCAAATACATTTTGTTTACATGTAACGGGAATTTTAGTTTAAAATATTTATAAATTCAAAACATACTTTGGATTCATAGCACTTCCATCCGATAACATAAGTTCAATATAGTTTATAATTGATGGTTTTTCTAATTTTGTCATACGAGTACCGCTGTCAAAATGATCGATAACGGGAGGAAAACACCGAGACCGAAGAATAAGACTCGCTTGGGGTTCTAAATGATGAAATAATCGAAAACAACATAATATTAGCGAATTACTAATTTATGTGTACAGCGAGCATACTTAGTTGTCCACGAAATTGCAGTTTATCTGGTGACAAAGTGTTTCTAAATTGTATGGCGTAAGGAATTGCATTACCCAATTGTGATTTTCGAGCCTCGGACAGTTCTTCATCACTCATTAACGGATACCTGACGGCGGATAAGACTCTGATTTTAGTATCAGGATCCACGTCGATTTGATTCTCATTGATCCAGCGACAAACCATACGGAATATAACTAATTCGTTAGCATAAAACGAGTCACGTTTTAGGATTTCATGGAGAGCTTCCTAAGAGCAAAAATTGTTCCTCGACTTTTCAGTTAACATTAGCAATATCATTTTTTTATTTTCAAAAAAAAAGTCATTACCGATGACAAAGAAAGAAAATCATCTGGTTGCAACACATCCAAAGCATGGTCATCAATAAAGTTGCTTGATTCGACTTCAAGATCCTTGTATTGATAAAGCCGTGTCATATCAAGGAACGAACATACATTGTGTACTTCTATTTTTTTTTTTAAAATACTCGCCTAGCAAGTGTTTTAAGTTGAAGAAGCTAAATAAATCCGAAACACGACTTAGTTCGAAAATCTCATCACCCTAAAAAATAAATAATGTAATTAATATTTTTTTATTAACCTGTTTTTCTATAATACAAATAATTTAAATTAATAGATCAAACACATACTATCGGCCAAACGATCACACAACCTTATTAAAAATTATATTATGCCGTTTTATAGCCGTAGTAATAACTGTTAAAGCCGCTAACGTTTAGCCAGAAATAATAAAAACCTTACCTCCTTGCTTACACTATAGGCTTTGTATAAAAGGTTCAACTAAAAATTTGAATGTCTATAATTAAAATTTTAGAAAATAGCAACGTTCTCGTTTGATGCTTCAAAATACTTTGCTATTGTACAAACAATAGACATCGACAACAAAACGCACAAGTGGATAACAATATATTTTACAAAAGCTAGTTGGCTGTTGCGCTTGGGCCAACGACAGTGCGGAGATTTAGTTTGGCTGAGACGGGAAGTGCGGTACAATGATGGTCGGTCGTAAATGGCCGCACGAAATAACTATATGAATTCAAAGGTTGTATGACTTTTGGCTAACCAACAAAAATACCAGCGATGTTCTTGGATTACATGTTATAATAAACGAGCAAACGACAAAACACAGTTTAACGTAAATTGTTATTTGCCAATTAATAGGTCATCTCGTGGAATTAGTGTTCAGACGTATGAAAGTTATGATTAATTTACTAACATTTATAACATGAGTCATGTCCTTCGTACATCATACAAATGAAAATGTACAGTTTAATGCATAGTAAAAATGAAATATAATACAAACAACAATATCATAGCACAATAACACAAATTTAAAACATACCAAGTAGGCTGAATTCTCTAGTAAATTAAGCGATTGCTAAATGAAACATTTTATGAATCACACGGTTTCAACAATAATTATTAGCGTCATAGTGAAGAACAAGCCAAAGTGTTTTGGCTAAACAACAAAAATGCCAGTAATATTGTTATACTTCTTGCACCACCCTCATATAATAAATGAGCAAACGACAAAATACAATAATTTAACCTATGTTGTTATTTGCTAGTTAATAGGTACTTTCGTGAAAGTGATGTTGATTTATTTATTTATTTTTATATTTTGGGTCGTGTTCCTCGTACATCACACAACTAAAAATTTACACTATATTGCACAATAATAATTGAATTAGTCGCATGGAAAAGAATAAAAAAAGCGAAAAAACTATTGTACTAAATAGGAACTTCAAAATAAAAATGTTAAAGTAAAACTTTTACTAATCATTTAATGATCTAAGCAAAAATGATTAATTACTTGGTAGTTAATTGTTTTTTTTTTGTTATTATATATCATTCGCTGCAGATTAGTATTCCATTATGATATAAAATTTATACAAAAACCCGCAGAGATTTTCGTATTCTCCAAAGTGTTTTTAACTTTCAAAAGTTAAACGGTAACATACATATTGAAATCATTTTCCTAAAATGCAATTTGTTTTAAAAGTCGATAAAACTCTGAAGCTTAAAAAAAATCCGATACAAATGGGAGTATTTTGTGTATAGTATAAAATCATATTATTTTGAATGTTTTAAAGTAAACGAGTATTTTTATAAATATTGCATTATTTTATTTCTTTACTAAATGTTTTAATTTTATTTTCAGTGCCTTTTTCTACCACTCATAATGAACGAAACCACACCCTACATTAACTGTTGTATTTGGAAAATGAGTCTTTCACTAATAGTTTTTACTTTTTAGATATTATTAACATGAATATGTTTTTGGGCTGGTTACAAAAAAAAAATTTGTGTTGACAAAAAAAAGTTCCAGCACACTTGTTTATTCATAACTTATTATTCTATATATTGTTACTGTTAGCCAAATAACAAAATATATAAGTTAGCAATTATAGGTATATACATAACTCATCGATTAGAGATTTCTGCGATTAAAATGTAAAGGGTAAAATTATTTAATATAATATTATATGTACCTGGAGTTGACTATAAAATAATATAGGCTGAACAATAAAACAACATAGTGTTATAATACATGTTATTGTAATATCAATTTTTGAACACTTAACAAACCAATATAAATAAAGTTTTTTCCGTAGATTTTGTAGACCAACTTGAATATGTAGTTTTATCACAACGACGTACAATTGTTTTTTACACTTAACGGTATTTGTTATAAACGGGTCATTGTATTTACATATAAGGTAAATAAGTATAAAAAATAATGTGCACGTGTATTGTTCAAATAATAACATGTCTTCACCATTAACTAAAAAAATGTGAAGGTTGTATCTAAGTACGAATTTACAAAAGGAGTTTTCAATAGAAAATATACAGGTATTTAGGCCTTTTAATAATTTAAAAGTGGATTTTGTCCGGTTATTCAGAGTTTCTGGTAAATTAAAGAGTAACACATTCTTCAGCCGTGCTTGTCTGTCGATCATCTCGGATATTAATTCATCATTACCTAAAATTGATGAATATGTTTTTGACGATTCAATTTTAGTTTCAATAGTCTCCACTTTAGTTTTTAAGGAGTCATGTTGAGATGATAAAGTGTTTAATTTCGTAGCATGTTCATTAACTTTATTAGTAGAATCGCTAGTTTATCCGCGAGAGAATTGAATGATGCTACTAATTTATTATTTGAAGCTTTAAATTAATTCACAGATTCAATTAAAATATCAAGTTTATCATCTATGTTTGTAAAATAAGTGATACGGCGTAAGATGTAGATAAAACATTTATCAATTGAATACTAAATAATAAGGGGCAGCGTATAGGTAATAATAGGTTGATTTTTACAAAATAAGACCCAATTAAATTATGAAAAAACAAATTATTTGTATCGATTAGATGTGATTTAGAGCTCGAAGTCTACCTGGAATTACCGTCATCAATATATTTTTGGTCAACCATTCACTTCCATACTTAATACTAAATGATAAATTAAAAAGGTATCCAAATATTTTGCGATAATTCGGCAATCTCGGCATAGAATGGACACCTGCATAAATCTTCCAAATATAAATTATTAGCAGTTCATCCCGATTAGCGTGTAAGCCATCATAGGTAGAGGAGACAACAGACACACGGGGTAATGAGTCAGGGGCACTGCAATGCCCAGTAATTGACATATTACCATCTTCAGACCGCGACCTATTTAAGCTCAAGTCATTACTTAATATTTCGTGAACGCTTTAGGATCCAGGTAGAGGTGTAATTCATAACACCAAGTGGCCACTGAGCGGCCGGCATGTGACTGAAACCAACATAATATTATAAGGGACACATCATTATCAGTTAAAATTTTATTCTCAATTCAGAGTCGCTAGAATTATTTTATATTAAATTATGTGTCGCATGCCATATGTTGGTTTTAGTCACATGCGGACGCAAATGTGGCCAGATACCAAAAAATCGTGTTACATATCAATTCAACAAGATTTGTTCTCCCAATTTCAAATCTGACATTATTTATTTTCGTAAGACAATTTTTTAACGAGATACGAGTTCTATTTTAAATAATTTTAAAAATTAAAAAAAAATGAATACCATTTCATGTACCCATAAAGCATCCTGAATGTCTCATTTGAAGCTCGGTAGAATTTTACATGACAGCTAGTATACATATACATATATATATAGATTTAATTATTTAAGAAACCTGTTTCTTTTTCTTGTTTTGGAAGTTAAGTTATTTAGAGGTACGGCCGCCTGTTAAGTTCTTCAAGCGATATATTTATATAAATGTATATAAATGAGACTTAAGGGATACTTAAGTGTAGATACGGCTTAGTCATCCGTCCCGTATTCGGGTCTACTAATATTATAATCCTTTCGACCAACTTGTCAAACAGACACGTTACACATCCATGAGCACCAATTCGTCTGCTTATATCAGCACCCTTATAGACGATCCATGAGATTGTATTCCTCCTCTTGTAACAATATTCATTTCTAATACTAGAATTGTGTGTTTCTTTTTCGAAATCCTCTGTTTTTTAGCTTCGATGCAAAGCGAGAAGGTATTGGTTTTACTCTGATATGGGCTTTTTTTTATCTGTATACACTGTAACTTTTTTAATACTGGACCAACTCCTTCGAATAGCAACTCTATAACTCACAAATTTTATCTAGTTGGTACTTGGGGGGGGGGGGGGGTAAAAGTTGAAAAAGTTTACTTCTTCACAGACGAAATTTGAAAGAAACAAAAAAAAAACCGTACGAGTTTTTAAGTTAGAACTTTTTTTTTTTTACTAAAAACACGGAGTACCAGATGTGAGAAACGAACAGACAGTAAAAACTGTCAGTTGGTAACGTCTACCCGTGTTAGGTTATGTTAGGACCCAATGCACGGTATCATAATATTGTGTTTATTACATGATATCACAGACGAATAAATCGTGTAACTGATTACAGTAGATACACGATTTATTGGGAAAAAAACCTATCCGTGTACTTATTAAGTTACTTAATGATTCTGATACGACAAAACCACTGTCGTTATCTCGTAATTTTATCGCCTGCGTTATATTACTGTACCGAAGGTCAACTATGAGTATATAAGGTTCAACTACCTGTAAATTATGAAGAGGACTGTTGTTTTTTGGACTGAGATTAAGTGTTGGTTTTTATGCAGTATACCGCCCCAAAATGTATTTTTTATTACACAATTTTTTTAAAGGAACACTAATGTTTTGCATATTGTTATACTGTTATTCATTTAAAGAGATTTACGCTTGATTATTTAAATTATCTTTTATAAGAATAGTAATTTGCTTCGTGCTAGTTTTAATTTTTTTAGTTTATAATTTTGAAGCTCTAATTTTGTATAAAATATTTCATTATTTTATTACTATGTTCAAGTTAAGATATATTTTAATAGTATTTAAAAGTCA